TGTGTGTGTGTGTGTGTGTGTGTGTGTGTGTGTGTGTGTGTGTGTGTGTGAGAGAGAAACTGTGTGTGCACGGAGAGTGAAATAGAGCATGCACATGCTTCGACAAGACTAAGCATGCATGCGTGATTGCATCGTATGTAATCTTGCACAGCCAGACCTCGTCTTGTTACGCTCAGGGAGGTTTCGGGGGAAAATCTTATCAAGTATTTAGGATTGCAGGAACTTTGAAAAATCCTTAGGCAGCCATTCTGTTTTTGGCAGCAAGTTTGACAACAGCCGCTTCTGGAGACAGCACCTCTGGTTTATTTGTTGGCTGGATACATACAAGTTTATCCATGGTGCAATTTGTTGGTTTGAAGTGTGACGGTGTTCTCCGCACTCTTCACAGAGGCTGAATTTCAAAATATTCAAGATTACTTAAGATGTAACTGTCCTGTGCGATGTGTTGTCTCGCAGCAGGAACTTCCTGGCTTTCAACTTGACCCCATTAGGACGAGGACAGGAGACAAAATTAAGCCGTCCAGCTTCTCTCAAACACAAAAACAACCGCAGTGCCCTGTTTTTTTGTGTGCATGGATTTTCATTTCTGTCTGTGCACAGTTTGCAAGTGTAAATACAAATATAAATGTTTTATAATCCCTCTGAGAAACTGTTGACCTGTTCGATGTGAATTTTCCCAAACACATGCAGGATGCAGAAAATGGATAATCTCTGCGTGTGTGAGCGTCCTGACCTGAGAGCAGGGTGAAGGTGACGGAGTAGATGCCGTTCTCCTTGGTCGCGGCTGTGCTCTCCGTGTAGGTGATGTCCACCTGAAATTTGACCGGCTTCTGGAAGACTGTGGGGCCGGCCGTGGACTTGTACTCCGCTCGAAAACTGGTCTGAGAAATCACGCTGTGGCTTAGGCTGGGGATCTGGGAGGACAAACACACACAGGGATAGATGGAGATAAAAAAAAAAAAGGTGAGTAATGGGATTGCACATAGCGAGCATTGATGTTTAATTATCCTCCCGCACCTTGCAAATGACGAGCTGAATAAACCCTCATTAAAATAGCCTCCACATACCACGAGCACCAGTTGAAACTCTGAGGAGATTAATGCCTTGGGGAGTAGCCATGCGTGCCAGGGAGACTTAAGCTAATGTAATCTTGAGTCGTCCAACAACATCGCACACCTAAAATGAATTTGTATGCTCGGTGAACAGGTGAGCTCCGAAATTGTCACATTTCGCCATAGTGCTGGAGAGGGGTTGACATTCCATTAATGTGAGTGTGCTGAGAGGTATAATTCCACTGATTCAGGTGACAATCTCCTGTCCGGGAAAACCAGCGAGCACAAGCCGCGGGAGAAAACAGCTACCCCGCCAGGGACAGGGGGGGGGGGGAACGGATTTGACATTGACCCGCGCAGGCAGAGTTTGCATTTACTTAGACTTTGTTAAATCTAACTGGGGTGAGGACGGGCTCTGTTCAATTATGTACACTGAATATCAACGACCACCGCTGGATGTTTGTTGATACAGATTCCGCCGAGAAATCCTCACGTTGCCTCACGTATTCGCAAAATCCACAGTTATAAACACAGATAAAATCTAATGCTATTTTCGCAATGTCGGGCGCTTACACATCTCAACACACATGCGCTCAATGCACGATACTGGGGGCAAAGCATCTATATGCTAATGATCAATGCTCTCTGTTGATTTTCCATTGACCTTAAGTGAGTCTGCAGTCAGAGGGAAAATAGAAGCGCTGAACACAAGCAGTTTACTGAATTGCTACATAAATCTGAATCATGTTAGCAAACACTCGTCGCATCGTGCAGCCAATCACCGCTGCTGTTAGAAAAAGGCAACATCCTGGCCCACACGAAAAAGATACACACAGATATTACTGCAACGTGCACACACCAACAAATACAGAGAGAAGAATACAGGACACAGAGGAAACTTTTTCCTGTGGAGGCAGAGAAAAAGACAAATAATTAAGCAATAAGGCGCCGTGAGTACCGAGAGAAAGGCCTGCACGATGTCTGCCTTGATGGAGCTGAGAGGCTTGTCCTTGATCACGATGAAGATCTGCTCCTCTTTTTCCAGGTTGATGAAGTTACCAAACCAGGATTTTTTGGCAAGTCTGTGAAGAAAGAATAGACATTGATTGTCGACTGCATCTCTGCATTGTTTATGATTCTCTCCTGCACAACATTTCAGTTTTCTTTGTTTTACCCCGATTCATATTTCATTACATTCTTGAACACGTCTGTTCTACACCTTCGTTTTGAGTGTGGCCGTGAAGGGGTGTGTGATGTAAGGGAACATTATATCTAGGGGTAGGGTGAAGGGAGAGGAATTGGGACTTAAGCCAATAAGACACCACTCCATAAAACCTAAACTTGATAAAACCACTTCATTAAACATTAATAAAGGTTTGTGTAATATTATAATGTCTGCAGAGATGTTGTGCCGCTGTAAAAAGGTGTCTACACCTGGTGTATGTGAACATGTATCTCTACAGCCCAGCCACAGCCAAGAGATGGTCTCTCCAACACCTTGAAGCCAGGATGTTCTTTCCAGCCAGGTGGAAATGGCCAAGCCAGACAGTCAGCCAATCAAACGGGCATATCTAGGCCAACTTTGAGTTATCAGGCCCCTGGGAGCTCAGCAACATCACACAGGCTGCCTTCCTCCCCTCCTTGATAACCAACTCACAACCTGCTGCTTCTATAACCCGGACCAGACCTGCAGGTCATCACAGGGAACTCAGCAGCGGGGTTAAAAAATCAAACGGTCATGGATGTAATACTTTCCAAAACATCATGCTATCAAGAGCCAGCCTGTCTGAGGCAGAGAGTCTGAAACGTTATGCATTTTTAAAATAAAAAAATCACAGCATGTACTCACTCTGGGGAAGACTCTGGTGTGAGGCTGGACATCTCCTCTTGTGTGGGGACTGTATACACGAGGTCAAAGTTCAGACAAAGGTTAATGATCAGCAGAAAACAGGCGGATGTCAAGACTGATAAGATTATTCAGGATTCGGCGTTGACCTTGGAGTTTCCTGCGGTGAAAGCGTGGTGAGCCCAGGAAGCTGTTCTTGATGGAGTTGAGGCGTGTCCTCCACGGCATGCCTCCGATGGATGGGCTGGGGGGCGGCGTTGGGGTGGGGGTCCCAGCTGGGCTGTCCTTGGGAGTGTGCACTGGGGTGCCCTTTGGGGTGGGGAGGGGGCTGCCTCGAGGGGAGGGGTGGGGGGTAACCTGTATGAGGGGGATAGATTTGGGTGGGTGGTCAGTGAATGCAGAAGAAGCCGGTGCCACGGGGTGAAAGTGGTGCAGCCGGATGGGCGACAGGGGCACCACTGGGCTAAAGGGCACAGAGAGCTGGGGGCCGGCGGCAAAATGGGTGCGCCGTACGTGCGGGCTGTTCGGGATGGGAGCATTGGTGATGGTGGATGGGGAGAACGGGGAGGATGGGGAAGTAGGGCTGGGGGGCACAGAGGCAGAGGGCGGCTGTGATGAGAGCTGGCAGGGAGAGGAGGGCTCCGATTTTGCCGCAGATTCTGGATCTGGGGAGGTTTCGGGGAGCGGGTTGGATCGTGTGGCCTGGAGAGGCTTCAGGGCGACTTTGGGTTTGGTGGGGAGCGTCTGCGTCTTGTTGAGCGCTGCCGGCAGGAGTTCATTGTTTGGAGCGAGCGAGTTGGGGGTGGAGACACACGGGCGATTGGGGATGGGGTCTGGAGACGGGCAGGGGCTGGTGTTGGGGGACTGTGACATGTCTGGGCACTGAGGTGGCACACCAAACTTTCTGACAGGCTGGAGTTGGAGGACACAGCGTGAGGACACACGGCACAATAAAGCCAGAACAGGTGGAGGAGGAAAAGAAAACAAAGAAAAAACACACGGGGACACACGCAAAGCCCACAAACACGTAGATAAGGAAAGGAAACAAGCGCGGAAGAGCAAACAGCGTCACAAGCAGGAGCAGAGGAAGCCAAAGAATATAGAGGCAGGTGAGAAGTGAACATACACAGGAGGGATGGAGGCAAACAAAAAAAAAAAACAGAAGGACAAGAGAAAAACATGCAGTTAGTCCATAGAGTGACTCATGTCAAAAGAAAAATTCAATGGGCAAAAACAAAAACATCAAGCAATGCACACATTTGAAAATATTTCACACAAAAGGTGTTTAAAGGTGGACTTGACTTAAATAAAACATGCAGAGCTCAGCTATCGCAAGCAGACACAGGTGTGAGAGACACAGGAGCAGCTGTGAGGACAAATTGGGCTGTCTCAATAAAACGGGGGGAACTCCATTACGGCGTCTCTGCTGTGAAATCTCGTGTTTACGGACAGGCTTGTTCGTCTGTTTGATTTTTAATGGTGAAATTGCAGCCACACACGGCGCGCTGATAAACTGTTTCCCTTCGACACCTTCTCTTCTTCCAGACACAAATCTGGAGAAAATAAGCCCACACAGAGCCTCTTGCTGCGAGCACAATCCGGGGGCTTTGGGTCGGTCTGCGAAATCAATTTCCCTTTCAGATCAGCCTGAGAGAACCTGTGTGGCGCGAGGAGCTCGACTCAGGGATCCCGGCTCATCTCGAGCCTTCTCAGGTTAGTCGGCCGGAAAAAAGTTTAGGCTCAGAGGGGAGCGAGAAAAGTGGGATTTTTTTTTTTTTTTTTTT